CTGTGCTAACCTGAAGGCTAAAAAGGGTTAGCTTTGTCCTCCTGTGGTCTTCAGATGAAGTCCCTGTGTTCCTTTGGCCTGCTGCCACTCTGATCATGTCCAGACCTCCCTGTTGGTACTAACCGGACCTCTGTTTCTCAGTTCGGCGTGGCGGTGGTGATCACCAACCAGGTGGTGGCTCAGGTGGACGGGGCCGCCATGTTTTCTGCAGATCCCAAGAAACCAATCGGAGGAAACATTCTGGCCCACGCCTCCACCACGCGGTGCGTTTTAATTCAGTCTAACACGCTGACGTCCCACCACAACAGCCTGATTTACACTTGGATCCCTGTTCCAGGCTGTACCTGAGGAAGGGGCGGGGAGAGACCAGGATCTGTAAAATCTACGACTCACCCTGCCTGCCCGAGGCGGAGGCCATGTTTGCCATCAACGCCGATGGAGTGGGCGACGCCAAGGACTGAGCCTGAGAGACTGTATCATAAGTAATGGGTTTGTAACATAATTAAATGTCCTTATCGCTAAATCTGATAGTGTGAATTCTGTGTTTTTGTGTCATTACAAGAGATCTTAAGAATGGGGAAACACGTTTCTGTTGAACTGATTTGTCCTGCTTACGGTTAATTCCTGAGATGGTGAAATATAATTTAGCAAAAACTTAGTCTGAATTCTGTTTGTTTACAGAATGAACATATGTGTACATAAATCCATGTGTGTGTGTGTGTGTGTGTGACCTCAAGAAGAAAAAGAGGACACTTTGGGGGGTATCTGTGGCATAAACAGTTGATTTTATTTATTCACGTCGGGTACATTTCTCTACCATAAATAAATCAGAATATCACATCATTAAAAAATGTAACCATCTGACCGCTGTAACTCAGGTGTGCATGAACAAAGAACAGTACCACACACAGTCAACACAAAGGTTTCATATTTGAGATCACACACAGGAGGAGCTGCTGCATAAGTCTGGGCCCAAATCAAACACAGCTCTGAGGACAGGTGAGTCTATAATTAGAGGAGGGGGCTGTAAGAATGTGCAGCTGAATAAAAGGAGCTCATGTACTGCAGCAAAACTCCTACAAATATTAAATAACAGGTAGTTAACTTCAGCTTACCACAGGAATGGTTCGAGGTTAAAAAAGCAGTCAAAGCCAAATGATTCCACAATGACACAATGACAACCACATGTACCTGAGAAGAGGTCCAACGTTACATGCTAGAAGTCAGCAGAAAGCTTTGTTCATATTTTAAAGTCCGTTAATGTCTGAAGCTGAGCCTCCAGTTCACACGTGTCTTCGTCCTTTTGGAGGAAAAAGAACAGGTTTGGAAAGAGTGGCTGTGAAGCATGCAGCTGTGATGAGAAAAACCCGGTGTCTTACGTCCGGGAGAGGGTCCGAGCCTCTGGGCATCTTCAGAGCCAGCTCGGTCCACTTTGATGCCTCTGAGGAGTTTCCTAGTCCTTTGTGACACTGCAAAGCAAACAACAGCAACAAGACTCATTTCACTAAAGTCTCTGGTCCTCTCACACGTTCACAGTGTTTTCTGGCACATATTCCACTGCTCAGAAGAAAAGAATCTGACCTCACCATTGCAATGTACAGTCTACCGAGCCTGGAGAAGCCTGGACAGAGGGCCTCCGCCTGCAAAGGTAAAGTCACACCGCTCACTGTCTAACGATGGACCCCACACACACCCAGTCAAAGTACGATCAAAAGCTCACACACTTCAACTGAGTTCAAATAGTGTCTGATTCTCAGCGACTCTCACAGAGCTGAACCAT